TAAAAATAGAAGAAAAGGGGAACGTGAATCTGAAGTTTTCAGATCATATTAACGGGTAACACTTCAAAGAAGAGTTTACAACTAAAAACAAATGTAAAAAAGTATACAAATATCTTCTTACATCCAATAATGTTTGCTCAAAATCTAAATATTTCTTGTTTAATACTATACTAAACAAGAATTTTACAATATCCGTTTGTTTTGGCATTTCATTTTTGAATGTAGAGTGATATAAATATAAAAATATCAAGAAACTTAAAAAGTAATTTAATATTTCAACAAAATTAAAAATAAAAATATCTATAGAAGGTAGTAGTCTGGACATTACTGTAAAATTTCATTTCCACCATTCTGTTTTATTTTGTATGCAGAGGATAATGTACAGAAAAAAGGAAAATTAGAAATTTCGAAATCGATATGTTATTAATGTATTAGAAACATATACATGAGGATTTGTATAAGCGTGTACAGACCTCAGGAAAGGGCAAGTTACTCAAAGAACGATTCGGAATTACATAGCAATGTGGGGGTGGAAGTACAGTCCTCATGTGCTAGTGTGTAGGAAGTAAAATTCAAGAAATGAAAGAGAGAGATGTGAGTAATCATATTTTCATCAGCAAATCTTTACATTAGCGATATTTATAAGTAAGTGTCTGAAGTTACAAGCGCCAGCTACTATGCAAGTGTAATATTAGCGCACGGACATTTTGGAATATACTGGGAGTCTACCGGATGATCACGCTAATAATGCGCGTGAGAAGATGCTCCTCACTAGTTCAGTACACAAGCTAAGTTTTAAGTACACCAGATAAATAGGCTTTCGAATAACCACGGAGCAAGAAATCTGGACAACAGGACAAGTCCGGCGAATGGGCAAACCAATGAATATGACCGCCATGACTAATCCATCTTTGACCAAATGCTTTATTCAAGTGTTGCCAAGCCCCAAAATTAAAATGAGTTGGGGAGCCATTATGCTGGAATCACATATACCGTTGCTTCGCGGCTGTTGTATGCTTTGCTCATCTAACAATATCGGCAAGACTTCCTTCAAGAAAACTTATATGACCGTCCGCCCAGACGAACAGGTATGAGATGTGGCTCTATTAGGTGATCGCCAAGAAAGTCTGCTCAAATATTCGCACAGTTTCTGATGCTGTCGCACAATGCAAAAGCTTTGATTCTACCCTGTAAACATCTGATGATTCGGAATCCGCTTTTTCGGTTACCACTCACTATTCAGTATTAGTGGTTGAATATAAAAATTTTTATTAATACGTGTAAAAGCAGCACATTATTTTTGTATCAAACAAAATTCAGATAGTTACCGATTTGGAGAAAACCCCTGTTCCTTTCAGGAGCAATTAACTTGGATTCCTTTATTTCAAGAGAAAAAAACAATTCCAGTTCTTAAATTTGATCGTTCAAATCCAAAACAAACTATTAAGCAATTAAGCAAAATCGAAGAGATAAACGTCAGGTAGCAAGAGGCAAATTTATAAGATTACGTTTTCAAATGCTTAGTAATGGGATTGAATTCAAATAAGAAAATTTGGTAAATCTCGCTGAATGTGGAAGCTTTTTTTGATTTATTTTTAAGCAGTTAAATTATTAGCGAAGGAAACACTGTTGCTTAATAACGTGAAACCCATGTCAGGCGCTCCAGTAAAATATAAAGCATTTTAATCCAAAACAAATTCAATAAAAACAATATTCAGTTTTTTTTTGTGAGTGCTGTTTTAAAAATTCATTTTCCTTACTTAAATTTATTTGAAACAAAGAAAATAAGTATCAAATTTGAAGAAGTCAAAATCTTGTTAGCTTTTAACTTATGTTTCCAGTAAAGTTAATTTAGTGTTTGCTAAGTTTAAAGGAAAAAGTACCACGCTGTTAAAAATTACTGTTAACAATAAAATGTGGCTTTTTACGAGTTGTTTTTAGAGCGACCATTTTACTCAGCAGGTGTTGAAACGAGCGTTCTATTTTTGTCTAAAAATGTGTCTATTGTCGTGACAAACGTCTGTCTGCCATGTCTTGTTGATGTCGAAAGAATGAGTGAATACTCTGTTATGGATGAGTCCTTATTCTGATGGTATTATTTAGCTGCTTGTTACAGTGAACTGTTCTGTACTAAATAATACCTGTCAGAAATAAAATGTGCGGCTTGTTTTAAAAGTAGATTCGCATTTCTGCATTCGTGTTTACTTATTCTTTTTAATTGGTTTGCACTTCACGTTATTAATTGTTATTTATTTCGCCAACGCTTAGTTATTACATGTTAATTTTTTTTTTAGTCCAAAGGGGCTTTGTCTCTGAAGGACTTGTTTTCGTTTTGCGATTTTGTGTCGATTCACTACAAATGGCGAATCACTTTTCAAACTGTTGCACAAAGTATTATCGCCCTGTGTTATATTTAAAGATATTAAATAATGAAAAATCTGCATAAATGTATGTATATTTCTCACATTGTGATAAAACAACGGTACATAGAGCCATCGAATTTTGAATGACGTAATCCTCCTACGAATATGAGCATCTGGAAGACCGAATTTTAAATTTGGTAATTTGTTTTATTATTTATTTCAATATTTTGGAAAATTTTAACGAATTTTTTATTAACAAACTCAAGGATTTCAAAGTGAGCAATGACAAGGTTGTAGAGAAAAAACATTTTTATCTCCAACGCGCAAGATTCTGTATCGGAAATTTAAAAAATATGTTCAATTTAAAACTATTTTGCGATATTGTTCTTGAACTGAATTTTATGGTTTAAGTGGGAAGAACGTGATATTTAATAAATAAAGGTAACAGACAAAATGTTTAAAAAATGCCCCTTTGAACGTAATTTAAAATCTAAAACTTTTTTTTTTTTTTTTTACTTTTGTAAAAGGAAATGTGGTAATAGCGAAAAATTTCAAACATCATATTTCAACGAAAATATCCATTTTTACCGCTATCGAATGCAACTTAACTATGTTTTTGCGTGACATCTGTACGTAAGAACAGAATAAAGGACTCTTTTCCCCAAAAAATTATAAAACTGATTTAAAATGAATTCTGAATAGAATTTTTAGTGTTGTCTGTACGTACGTTTCTCGCATAACTCAAAAACGAATTAGCCTGAGAGCGTTGAAATTTTGTATATAGGACTGTTATAACATGTAAATGTGCACCTCGTATTTTGGTTCAATCGGCCGCACGAAAAGTATATAAATATATATATAATCACTCTGTGTTCGACTCAATGATCTCAGTTTCATTATTCTTATATGTTTGTAAATTTGGCATTTTTTGGTTTAAAAATGATTGAATTATGTTGTTCTTGTCTTCCAGTTAAGGTTTTTATTTTTAGTAAATCTGCATGCAATATATGTAGAATTATCAACAATTTAAAAGTTGTTTAAGTGCAGCTAAGCCTAATTATTTTTGCTATGGCGGCCATGTTTGTTTACATTTGAAACTTAGCAGAAATGAATTAAGTCAGTTTCTGTGTGCACTGAAAAAAATCTGCCTTCTTGCCCGATGGCCGAATTGCTGGTTTTTGCGTAGAAATTCTAATTTTACTTGTTAAAATTGTTTTTTAATAGTTTTAACTGTATTTGGAGTTTTATGTTTTTCTATATTTTCCAATTTTTCAATAAAGCTATTTTGAGGTTTTATGTATTTTTGCCTTGCCGCGAAGTGAGAACTGAATTGAATGAGAAATTTATCTGTAATGAAATTCGTGGAAATAAGTTTAAATGAAACGCAGGACAAGTGCATATAATTTAATATTCCGTGCAAGGAAGTCATGTGGTGTACACATCAGATTTTTTTCATGTAATTCAAATGGTATATTATTAAGAGAAAAATGAATAAAATATTGTAATATATTTGGATATTTAAAATATTGAGAAGAATGAGAAAATATTGTAACGAAAATAGTATAAAGAGAGGTATTTTATAATAGTATAAAGAGAAAAATGAATAAAATATTGTAAGGAAATTGTATAGGAAATTTCTATCAATTGCTCTTTTTCTTCACGAGATTTTTGAACTTAATAGTTAAATATACGTTATTTCTTTGCGTACCACCTATTTTTCTCTTGCGTACTACCAGCGGTACGCGAATCACCGACTGAAAATCTCTGTCGTATAATATGCATGATGCTTAGTGATCGTAATGTCAAAGCTGTGCGCGATGCTGAGTTTGTTCAGTTTTCTGATTTTTTTAAATGGAAACAGATCGTTGTATACGTAGGGAAATCAATAGTTTCCCTCTCCCCATAGATACAGCATTCTGTTTTTATACAGAAAAGTCATCAGAGAATTTCTCAAATTAAACATCGCGCACAGCCTTGTCCTAGCTGACATTTAATATTATATATGTATTATGGTCATGATAAATAAGAGATGAGAAATTCTAAATTAAGATGATATATATTATAGTTTCTTATTATATATATTATTTCTTATATATATATAGCTATTGTTTTCATGAAGCTACACTTATTGTTAGGGTTGCCGCCGTCTAGATAGATTTCGCCCCACTGTCTATGTTTGGCATTAAGTAGCGTTCCGTTAAGAGAAAAGTACATAATTAGCGATAGATATGCAGTTTACATATACGGTAATTACCTGTATAGTTTATTTAGTATTTAAACGATGTAATTATTCGATGCATTGCGATAATTAAACTCTTTCCCGTTATTCTGCAATTTCATTTATTAACACATCTGATTATAGGACCCTACCAAATTTTAAAATAAAAATATAGCAAAAAATTCGCGATTTTATTTTCGTCTAAATAAGTATGTCCTTAGAATGGAAATCTTACTGCTCAAAATCACCAGAAATTCGGGACTTCTCTTCAAGTAATTTGTTTCCTGGATAGTTTTAACTGTTTTCTACTTTTTAAGTAATTATAAAGTAATGCAGACATACCTCCATTTTCTGTATAATTTTAATAAGCAATTATGTATGGCATTCTGTGTTGGTTTAGAAATTAATTGAATTTCGTTTAATTTTTATAGGTATATTACAGTTGCCTTTGGAGACTCAAGAAAAGTTTCGCTAAAGCAAATTTCATTAAAAATAGGTAAGATTTTTTTAGCGAATAGTTAATTAGATTTGTTTATTGCCTTGTATCATTTTTCAATTAATGAACTGAAAATAATATGATTAAATTTCAGTGTTAGCTTAATTTTTGAACAAATGTATGTAGGATGAGGTTAGGATTAAAATAGAGGAAGGCAGTGACATTTTTAAAGGTATTTAATGATGAAAGAATAAACATGATTATGGTATGTACAAAATGAAAGGAAGTAAGAATAAAAAGTTTCATATTCATCATGAAACGAAATTACATCGTCAATCAACATCGTCGAACAGCATAGTTCAGTTGCCATTCAATCACCACGTGTCGTAACCTCATCGGAATGCAAGTTCTGTCCATTTCCTCACGCAGCTTGAAGAAGTATCTCGCCGCTGTCGCTGTTGCCAGATTCAAGGAAAAGGCGGACGAATTATAGGAGCGAATTACCACACGGCCATTCTGCCTTGCCGGGCGTCCTCGCCTGGGGATTGATCTGAAAGAAAGAAAAAAAAAAACAAAAAGCAGAGAAAGTGAAAAACGTGAAAAATCAATGTCCAATGGTGGCGGATGGTTGAGCTTTGTGTAAGTTTGTTCACCACCGTTTCATCTCATCAGTACAGGTTGATATCATAATGGTGTCGTCATGGCGCATCTTTCGTACTTCGTAATAATCAGAGGGATGAACTGTCTCATAAAGACCGAAGAATTTGGGACGAAGTTTAAGTCCAAGTTTCAGTTCAAGTCGAAGATTCAGTCCAAGTCGAAATTTCAGTTCAGCTATTGGCATTTGGTGTCCAAGTTTATATTTGCAGGCAGGTTTGCGACGTTTCTTATACTGCCGTATATGTGTTTGCCGTAAACGGAGGAGGTTCCGTTGAGCTTCAATGCATAATGCAGCTTTTTCATCATCATCATGCTGTGACAGCAATTTCATTGTCTTTGAAGTTCGTTTAAATTTTCTTCGTTTATACTTCCAGGCTTTCTGTTCTTTGGGAGTTTCTGCACTTTTAGCAGGTGTTTTGTCGTTTGCTTGATCAGCAGATGCTTGTTCAAATTGATTCAGTTTATTTTTCGCAGTTTCTTCAGTATTCTGTACGCTTGGATCATTATCGATATTATCATTAGCTTCATGACTGTCATCATCATCATCGTCGTTGTCATCACCATCATCTTCATTGGCATGATCTTCATCAACAACAGCAACGTCATCTTGATCAACATCATTATCATCATCTTCATTAGCTTCATGAGTGCCATCATCATCAGCAGCACCATTAGCGTTATGATTGTCGTCATCATCAATATTATGATCTTGATCCATGTCGTCGTCTGCGTCATCACCATCTTCATCAACATCATCGTCATGAGCTCCATGATTGGTATCAGCATCAACTTTGTCATCGTGGTTATCCAAATCCAAATTGTCATCATCTAAATCCAAATTGTCATCATTTAAATCCAATTCTAAATCGTCATGTGCATCATCATCATTTTCCTTACTTGCTTTCTTCAACTGATTTTCATTTTCTGTTATTTTCTGAAAATCTTCCATAGCAGTGTTAACTTCGTGTGGTTTGTGAGGAGTAATGATATGTTGAACTTCCTCGAGAATTTCCGATTTTGAGATGTGTGAAAGATAAGGTGGAAATGTGTGATCATCAGTAACATTAGCAAAATTAACAAAAATTTGATCATTATTATTGCTGCATAAATGAATACCATCTTTATCAAATGTAAATCGCGTTTGTTGCAAAAAGTCTATTCCAATAATGGCATCAAGAGGAATCATGTAGTTTTTTACTACATGGATTTTAGCAGGTAAAATAGTGTTTTGAATTTTAATGGAATCCTGAAAGAATCCAATGCTTTGAACTGTGTCTCGGCCAATTCCTGAAAATGTAATTCTGTAAGGATGTAATGGTGGAGAACCAAGTTTGCGGTATGCTTGCTCATTAATTAGCGTTGCTTGTGATCCAGTGTCATAGAGAGCAGTTAACTGAGTTCCTTTAAGTTGAATATCAACATGCATAGGATTTTTAGAAAAATTTTGAGTAGAAAGTGTATTTACAGTACTATCAGATGTAGAACAATTAGGAGCAGATTCCGTGGTAGAACTACCAGAACGTTTGGGACAATTGGAATGAACGTGACCATAATTTTGGCAGCCATAACAAAATTTGCCATTAGATTTTTATTAGGACAAGTTTGTACAATTAATGCGTTTGTGTCCTCTCCAAACCACAAGAATAACACACTGGTTGAGTATCTGAGGCACGTTTAGCATGAATTTTAGCACTGGGAAAGGAATTTGTAAATTTCTTTGGGGTATTTTGCTTCAAATGTTTTGAATTGTTAAAGAGTTTTTCATAAATCTTCAGTTTTTCTTTAAATTCAGGAATGGATTTACAACCGTATAAAATTATTTTGTTGTTTCATGAATCAGGAATACCATTGATAATATAATCAATCAAAGAAGAATCATCCATAGAACCTTTGTGTGAGAGGTCTCTCATAGCTAAAAAATATTTTTGTAAGGTTTCAGATGTTTTCATGTGACGAGATTCCATTATTTTATGTAATTGAAGGCTTTTAATTTTTTCCGAAAGTTCATCTAATAAATGGTGTTTTAATTGTTCCCAATTAGTAATTCCACGAATTGATCTTATTAATGTTAGAGCTGGACCTGTAAGACATTTTTTAACAAAAATTACTTGGTGTACAGGATTCGTGATTTCATAGAGATTAAAAATATCTTCTATGTCTGAAATAAAAGTTTCAATGCTGTAATTATCCCGAGAGGAAAAGGGTTTGATCAAATCAATAATGTCCTTTAAGCCAAAACATTGAAACGGAACAGTCTGTGTTTGTGAAAGCAATAAATTTCCAGGTGCGCGTTCAAGAGAGATTTTTGCCTCCATTTGTTTACATAAAGAGTCATCTGGAGTGTGATTAATGGCTGTTTGAGCGACGCTATGCGTTGAGGGTGAACTTTACACCAAGGCGTCTTCTTCAAGGTCGCTGTAGTCAGCGGAATCTGATTTTAATAATGAGACATCAGCTAAATTCGTAAGAATATTGTTAGCACAATTTTCAATATCGGTGGAAAATTCTAAATATAGTAAGTTACATATGGCAATTAAATCTGTGAGAGAAAATTCTTTGATAATTTTTTGTTTCGTATCTTTAAAGTTAAATGGTTTGGGAAAACCAGAAAAATTGCGTAACCTAGCACGATTCTGCCGATCACCATGTGAGCCAAAAACTAAACGATGTAAAAGTTTGATATGCTTGGTGCTGGCAGTTTTTAATGACTGTGCAATGTTGGGATAATCGTTAAGTGTAGCCATTATTTATCAGTTTTGTTTTTAACCAAATATGAAATTCCACAAAATATGTATGTTTCGATTTCATCAAATATTATTTATCTGGTTTCAGAAATTAGTATACCAAAATATACTCTTAATTTTTCATATTCTTCAAAATAATATTAATTCTTCTTAGTATATTACACAATAACTATGATGTTAAAAAACTCAAAAATCATAAATGAAATTGTGAACATATGATTCAAACAAATGGTAAAATATATCGTCAAACAAATCTTCATATAAGACTATGTTAAGAATGAAAAATAGAATTTCACGTTAAGATATGATATAAAAATTAATAACTTCGATTACTGCTGTACAGTCCTTGTAAAATATAGGCGTCACAAGAAATAAGAAATTTATGCACCAAATTCGAAAACGAAAGTAATTCTTCAAAGTAACTATTTTAATACATCACAATTCTTTAAATAGTCAGTAATGTATTTCCATCAAAATCAAATACCTTTAGTTTATTCAATTAAACTTCATCAAAACTGTTTAATTATTTACCATCAACATCAAATTCGAAAACGGAAGTATTAATTCTTCAAAGTAATAATCATTCAAAAATAAAATGAATTTTCATCAAAATCAAATGCCTTTCGCTTCTTCAAATAAACTTCATAAAAAGGCAATCAAATATTCATAATAACTTTGAAAGAATATTACTTCCTGATTAGCATTACTTCATCGAAATAAAATTAGCTCTACTTACGCGCTGACGAATCACAACAACTGAGGATCTTGCGATATTATTCCATAGTAGTCCATCATTTATAGTTATATTCGATGGTAGTCTAGGGGATTTAAAAAGCTGAAGAGAAGAACAGATTTTAGTTCAAGGAGTCGAAAGAGTTCGTGGGGCCGAGCCCCCATGTAGGATGAGGTTAGGATTAAAATAGAGGAAGGCAGTGACATTTTTAAAGGTATTTAATGATGAAAGAATAAACATGATTATGGTATGTACAAAATGAAAGGAAGTAAAATAAAAAGTTTCATTCATCATGAAACGAAATTATATCGTCAATCAACATCGTCGAACAGCATAGTTCAGTTGCATGAATCACCGTGTCGTAACCTCATCGGAATGCAAGTCTGTCCATTTCCTCACGCAGCTTGAAGAAGTATCTCGCCGCTGTCGCTGTTGCCAGATTCAGGAAAAGGCGGACGAGTTATAGGAGCGAATTACCACATGTATGAGATGTAAATTTTGTTTGGCGTGGATTTTAATGATAAAGCTGTTATTGAAATGAAATGTGGAATGTCTTTCCAAACATGGCATCTTCGCCAACAGTAGCATCTATCTGATGGAGATTGGGCTAGGTTATTTGATTATAACAAAGCGTACGAGGACCATCTGTCTAAGAGGAGAGATGCTTTCATGGAGGAATATTTGGATAAGATTGGTTTGTATTAACATTTCTCATGAGGAAACAAATATGCAGCCAGCTTGTTCGTCTGGGCTCAAACTACCAATATTCAGCGATCTTTAGCTGCTTAGCCCTGATGGGGCCTAATTAAAGATGAGCGCAAATACGTGGCTTCTTTTGAAATTAAACACATGTTTTTTCATTTAAATAAAGGCATGGTAATTTTTTTTGTCTACATGTTATAAAAATTCTAAAATGCCTTGTTTTATGACGGAATGAGTGCATAGCCAGTTAACTTATAAGATAAATATAGAGTGAAGAGGACCAATATATTTATTTATAGATATTTCAAATTTCAAGAAGCCTGCATGAGCAGTTTTTGGTGTCTAGGAACTCCGACTACTATGAAACAGTGGTAAAGGATTCAGTGTCTTCAGGTTTTTTTCCTTGTTTCACAGTAGATGATTCAGGCTGTATTTAGCTTTTACATGACGTTTCAGTATGTTTTGGACATTATATTTATGATATCAAACTTGATCTTAATATATCAAAATCTTAAACGATAATTTACAAACTTGCACTTAAATTTTATTTTAATCTGTAACCGGAGCACAAATGCATTATAATTTCCTGATTTACGCTGTAGATTTCTGACTGCTGAACTTTTCGTCATTTTTACTTCCTTCTACGAAGTAAAAAGGAAGCATTGTAATCGCGAAAAGCTTCAGGCAGCATATTTCAACGAAAATATCCACTTTGACCGCTTTCGAATGCATTTAACGATGTTTTTGCGTGATATCTATATGTAAGGACAGAATAAAAAAACTCTTTTCCTCCAAAAAACTGCTTTAAAATGAATTCTGAAGAGAACTTTTCGTGGCGTCTGTACGAACGTATATACGTACGTACGTATCTCGCATAACTCAAAAACGAGTAGCCTCAGAACGTTGAAATTTTGTATATAAGACTACTATAACATTTAGATGTGCACCTCGTATTTTGGTTTCAATCGGCCGCGCCAAACGTATATAAATATATTTATAAATATATCCACTCTGTTACCCGGCTCAGTAATCTCAGTTTCTTTACTCTTATATGTTTGTAAATTGTACATTTTTTGCTTTAAAAATGATTGAATTATGTTGTTTTTATCTTCCGGTTAAAGTTTTTATGCCTTTCGTAATTCTGAAAGCAATATTTGTACAATTATCAACAATTTAAAAGCTGTTTAAGTGCGGTTAAATTTTAAATAACATGGCGGTTATATTTGTTTACATTTGAAACAGCAGAATTGTAGATTTGTTGCCAATCTAGAGAGACTAAGCTTCGCAACACAAAAATAACGCCTTCATTTATTATTGCGAATTAAATCATGCTTGATCCTTTCTGGAATGTTTTCGAGGAAATAAGTATTTAAAATTTACTTCGTAATTTTTAATACAGATATTTGGAGTTTTTATGTATTTTTGTTTTGTCGCGAAGTGAAAACTGAATTAATTGAATGAGAAATACTCAATCGTCTGTGAAAAACTGTTTCTTTTTCGTTTTGTTTGCTTAATTTCTTTTATACATCGTTCTAGCTTTGTTATAATATTTGAATAGAACATGTGGCCACGATTAGATAATTCTTTAAATGATATAAATTTTGTGCATTCTGAGTTAAAATATGAACGAAATATAATACTGTTAAGTAAACCTAGCCCCAGAGTGTCGCTATGGTAAACAAAGTTAATTTTAAAAATGCATTTTTTCTATTGTGGTTTATGCGCTGTCGGCGAAGTAGCTTTAATTCAATCTAATAAGTTAAATGAAAT